TGCCCAGGCAGGTCTCGAACCCACGGGTTCAGGCAGTCCACTCACCTCAGCCTCCCAAAGCGCGGGATTGCAGGCTGAGCCACCGAGCCCAGCTCACTGTGTGTTTTTAGGGAGGCCCCAGAACTCCCTGAGCCTCAGTCTCTCAAACACCCTCCTGGTGGGTGAAGGTAAAATAGTGGGAGGAAAGTATCTGTAAATAGGAAAGAGCTATTTATGTGTTTATTTTCTAAGGTGTAGTTTTCTAGGTCATTTCTTTGTTTAGAAAAGCTGCACATGTGAGCAGCAGGGACTCCTTTTCCTCTGGCAGTGACCCAGAAAGAGGGGTTAGACCCCTGTGTGCAGAGGCTCTTCTGGAAACAGGTGCCCTCTGAAGTCACTTTTACACTCGGTGTCCCCTCTTATAGGTGGATGGACTGCTCTTCTACCACAAGCAGACACACTACAGCCCCGGAAGCACACCCTTGGTGGGCTGGCTGCGCCCCTACATGGTGTCCGATGTCCTTGGGGTGGCCGTGCCGGCTGGCCCACTGACCACCAAGCCAGAGTATGCCGGGCAGCAGCTCCAGCAGATTATTGAGCACAAGAGGAGCCAGAAGGAGGGCATGCAGAAGAGACACTCACTCGGGGCCTCTGAGAATGGGCGCTACGAGCTGGAGCACCTGTCCACGCCCACGCCAAAGAGCCCCTTCCTGTAGCACTGACCACCCTGGGAGTCCCCTGGAGAACTGAAAGGACAGCTTCCTAGGAGGGAGTCACAGGATGGTGCCTGGCCCAGAAGTAAGGCTGGGGAGGTCAGTGACCGCAGGTGACTTCACTTTAGAGTACACTTTCCAAAGCCACTCCAACTGGAAGCAACTTCTCTCTCATTGGGAATGCTGGCTCACACCGCTGGGGAGGGTTCCTGGGTGGGTGATGTTCAGATGGATCTGAGCAGAACCGTGGTGTAAATATATGTGATTCTTAAGAAAGAAGCTGTTTGTGATTCTTAGGCTTAGACAGCCGTGAGTCAACCCTCCCCAGCCCCTCCCCCGGGCTGCTTCAACCATGACTGTCACGTCTTGGCACCTGTCCCTCTTTTTAGCACTCAGACACATTCTGCTGAGTTTCCAGTTGCTGCCGTTGGTAATGTCGTTTTCTGAAAGGTCTTACCAGGAACTGCAGTTCTTGGTATTTTGAACATGTTCCGTCTTCTGAGAAGACGGGTGTGATTTTCTTTGGTTTAGACATTGCTCAAGATAAAATGCAACGGCTGCCATTCACCCCCTCCACAGTACTTGGACTTTCGCATCTCCCACAGGGAGACAAACCCTGTGCAACGCCCTGCGGTGGAGAGTGGGGTGTGGAGGTGGACAGGACGCAGTCCCCACCCACAGTCCAGTGAGAAAATAAGCCCACCAGCCCACCTCCCCAGCATGGCAGGGTAGGGAGGTGATGACTCTGGTGTAGACAGGTGCAGAGAACAGGGGCCAGGGTGCAAGGAAGAGCAGAGGAGGCCTCACAGAAGAGGCTAAAGTGGGGGATACGCTCTGAGGGGGATACTGTACTCTGTGGACAAGTGGAAGAGGAGTTCCTCTCGGGCAGGAGGGCATGCAGCTGCACCCCTCCAGGGCAGGTAGGTCTTGCTGTGAAAACTGAAGGGGGTTCAACCAAATTCAAGTATAAAGTAAAATTGGAGCTGGGCATGGTGATGGTAAGTCCAGCACTTTGGGAAGCTGAGGCAGGATGATTCTGGAGCTCAGGATTTTGAGGCAAGCCTAGGTAACACAGCACGACCTCTTCTCTACAAAAATAAAAATAAAATTAGCTGGGCACGGTGGTGTGTGCCTGTAGTCCCAAGCTACTCAAGAACCTGAGGTGGAAGGATCACCTGAGCCCAGGAGATGGAGACTGCAATGAGTCATGATCGTACCATTGCATTCCAGGCTGGGCAACAGAGTGAGACCCTGACTCCAAAAAAAAGTCAGATTGGGGAGCTTGGGAGAGAAGGCTAGAGAGAAACAGGAGGTTTGGATTGTGTCATAAATGAAAGGGAGCAGCTGGGCTCGGTGGCTCAGCCTGTAATCCTGCGCCTTTGGGAAGCTGAGGTGAGTGGATTGCCTGAGCCCACGGGTTCAAGACCCGCCTGGGCAGGCGAGACCTCATCTTTACAATAAATCAAAAAATTAGCCGGGCGAGGTAGCGCACGCCTGTAGTTCCAGCTACTTGGAAGGTTGAGGCGGAAGGATCGCCGGAGCCCAGCAGGTCGAGGCTGCGGTGGCCGGGAGCGGCCACTGCACTCCAGTCTGGGCGACGGAGTGAGACTCCAACTCAAAAAAAATTAAATTAAATAAAGGGAGCCAAGGAAGAGCTTCGAGTGGTCAGTGTCCCCTCAGATCTGTGACCTAGTGCTCTTTGGCAGCTGTGGGGCAGAAGACAGTGTCTGAAACGATGTCAGGAAACGGGTCCCACTTCCGTAGCCTCAGTCTTTCCCCACACGGCTGCTTCCCATCTCTCTGGGACTTCTTACTGGATGCAAGGATGTCACCACTCCCTCCAGCACCAGTGACCTGTGGACACAATCACACAGGGATCAGGCCAGGTCTTGTCTGACATGCCATCGTCCCTTTGTGTTGATAGTTCTAGGAACAGGTGGGGCAGAGATACGTACCAGTTAAAGGGGCCTGTTGACACAACCTCAGCTCATCTCCTGAAACTAGTCTCTGCTGACAGTTCCAGAGCTGCTCAAGCTGATTGTGTAAAATTGGAGAAGGAAAAAACCTCACCGGCCCCCCCAACCCCCACCCAGTGACGATCCTGCTGACTGCGGATTCGAGCATTTGCCGACATCAATAAGCTCCTTCCTGAAGTTAGGTCAGTTCTGCAATAGGAACATTGTGTTCCTCTTGCCCAGGAGCACACTGGAGGCTGCATAGACAGCCAGCTGGTCTTGCTTGGCAGTCTTCTGAGTGCTGTAGTCTGCACTCTCACCAGCCATTCGTGTCAGCTCAAGGGCTGTGCATGCTTGTGTTGGTAGTGACCTGGCCACACTCTGCTCAGAGCTGATCAGGTCTGGAAGGACTCCTTCTCCAAAGGACACTCTGGGGAAGGATGCACAAATCAAAGGACACATCAACCAGGGTCATCAACAGCACAGTTGGATGTTGTCAAATGGCAGCTTGAAGGACTCGGCTCCAAGTGCCCCTTATATTTTTAAACTCCTCAGAGCCAGTATTATTCACTGATCAATGAATAGTAATGTATATCTTAGTCATATTTCTTTTTTTTTTCTTTTGAGTTAGACTCTGTTGCCCAGACTGGACACAATCACAGCCTCTGCAGCCTCGACCTGCTGGGCTCAGGCAATCCTTCTGCCTCAGCCTTCCAAGTAGCTGGAACTACAAGTGCATGCCACCATGCCCAGCTAGTTTTGTGGTTTATTGTAGAGATGAGGTCTTGCTGTGTTGCCCAGGCTGGCCTCGAACCCCTGGGCTCAGGCAATCCTCTTGCCTGCCCCCCCCAAAGTGCTAGGATTACAGGCGTGAGCCACCGCACCTGGCTGGTCATATTCCTTTAGGGATTATAAAACCACCTCTCACCACTTGTTTCAAAGATGGTTGTGTTATTATTACTTTTTGGGTTGGAGTCTCACTCCATCGCCCAGGCTGGAGTGCAGTGACACACTCACAGCCACCCCAGCATCAACCTGTTGGGCTCTGGCAATACTTCTGCCTCAGCCTTCCAAGTAGCTGAAACTATAGGCATGTGCAGTTGTATTATTTTTGCTGTGATTGGATATGCATTTTCCAGCCAGCCCTCTGAACAGCTCCCAGTTTCCTTTTCTTTTTTCTGTTTGTGGAATTATCTCCTCCTTATGCAATATGGCTGAGTGGGACTGTAATCTGGGGTAGCTGCGCCCCTCTAGCATCAGGCTCAGACTCAAGATAGGCCAATCACATGCTCCTCATAAAGAATTTGTATCTTGGCCAGGCCCAGTGGCTCATGCCAATTATCCCAGCACTTTGAGAGGCCAGTGTGAGGATTGCCTGAGTCCATGGGTTCGAGACCAGCCTGGCCAACTTGGCGAGACCTCATCTCTATAATAAATAAAAAAATTAGCCAGGCGTGGTGGCACATGCCTGTAGTTTGAGCTACTTGGAAAGCTGAGGCGGAAGAATCGCCTGAGCTCAGCAGGATGAGGCTGCGGTGGCCATGAGCATGCCACTTGAATTCCAGCCTGGTCGACAGAGTGGGACTCCACCTCAAAAAAAAAAAAGAATTTGTATTTTGAGCAGAGGACCAAGGAGGTAAATTCATAGGAATGTATTTACTTTCCTGGGCTCTGGGTGTGTTATGTGTGTGTGTGTGTGTGTGTATTTGTGTGTGTGTGTGTGAAACCTGTGTGTATCCAGCAAATTCCATTCTGGTCAGATTAGCCAGAACTGGTTTTGGGACTTGCAACCAAAGCATCCTACATGATCCCATTGCCCTGTGTGGCCTACTTTGCTTGCCTTGGCTGTAGGGCTGACTTGGCCTGCTTAGCAAGGAACTGCCATTTGAGATCACCAGGTTCATTCCAAGGACGACTGAAGCCCATGTACCTAGAGAAGACCAGGCGTTTCAAATAGTAGGTGCCAAATAAGCAGGCCTGGCTATTTTTTATTTATTTGTTTGTTTGTTTGCTGGAGTCTCACTCTATTGCCCAGGCTTGAGTGTGGTGGCACACTCATGGCCACCGCAGCCTCAACCTGCTAGGCCCAGGCCATCCTTCTGCCTCAGCCTTCCAAGTGGCTGAAACTACAGGCATGCGCCACTACAACCAACTGATTTTTTAAAAGTTTACTGCAGAGATGAGATTTTGCCAAGTTGCCCAGACTCAGAACCCCTGGACTCAGGCAATCCCCTCGCCTCCACCTCTCACAGTGCCGGGATTACAGGGTTGAGCCACCGTGCCCAGCTCCATTTATGTATTTATTTTTGAGAGATAGGTCTTATTCTGTCACCCAGGCTGGAGTGCAGTGGTGTGATCATAGCTCACTGCAGCCTTGATCTTCTGGGCTCAGGCGATCCTCTCACTTCAGCCTCCCAAGTAGCTGGGACTATGAATCTGCACCATCACATCTAGCAAATCAGGCTTGGTTATTTTCATGTTAGCTCAGAAAAGTCATGCTGAGTTCCAGTGCCTGCATGGGAAGAGTTCGTGTCAACCTAACCCACTTGTGTTTAGCGGGGATTTATCTGCATTGCTGCTTCTCCACTTGCTCATGGCTCACTCATGAAATATGACTTCCGTTCCCACCACTTCAAGTGCTGTCATCAAGGGACTGGCATTCTTCTGTTTTTCTTTTTCTTTTTTTGAGTTGGAGCCTCACTCTGTTGCCCAGTGCAGTGACTCCTCCTGGCCACCGCAGCCTCGGCCTGCTGGGCTCCGGCGATCCTTCCGCCTCAGTCTTCCAAGTAGCTGGAACTACAGGCGCGCGCTACCACACCCGACTAATTTTTTTATTTATTGTAGAGATGAGGTCTCGCCAAGTTGCCCAGGCGGGTCTCGAACCCACAGACTCAGGCAATCCACTCACCTCAACCTCCCAAAGCACGGGATTACAGGCTGAGCAACCAAGCCTGGTTAGTCTCCTGTTTTTCTACTCAAAGGGACGTTTTGCGAGTTTTTCCTTGACTGATGTCTGTTGCTGCCCTCCGGCGGACACCTTTTCTCCAGAGTGTGTCTGTCTACTTACCAGTCACCTCCCAGTCACCTCAAACAGCCTGTCCCAAACCGAGCTCAGTATGTATCTTTCCCTCTTCACGCCCCTCAATCATGCTCTTCCTGGGGTCTTTGTCTTTGTTAGTGGCACATAGTCACCCAAGCTAGGAACTTGGAATCATTCCAATGATTCCTGTCTACTTCCTCCTACGCAGAGCCAAGAGTCACCATGTCCCCTCAAATTTCCACCTCTCTCCTCCATTGCCTCTACACTGTGAGGCCCTAATA